GGGGTCCAGAGGTGACGAGGTAGCAGATGATCCCAGCTGCCACGCAATGATAACGAGCAATAAACACAAGCCTGCTCCTCTCCAAAACCCTCGTCAATAATGCATGCATCTAAGGCAGCAGTGATTTTAAGACTTTAATTATTTAGTGATATTAGTAGTAGAGTTGTTGCGGGGCATGGAGTACAGATTGCTGACGCCAGTGGTGCCCGGGGCTGGGCTGACCTCCAAGCAGAGCCCCCCGAGCCCACCGCCCCGCTCCCCACGGGGACCAGACCCCTGCCTCACCCCAGCCACCTGGGCTCTGCTGCTGCTCAGCCCCCTTGGGGCACCAGGACCCATGGACAGCATCTCGGTGCTGGGGAGGATGGGGTCTGGCGCAGGGGGTTTGGGCATTGCCTGGCGGTTACCTGCATTCAGCTCCTCTGTGTTCTGCAGCTCTCTGCCAGCGAGCAGAGCGATATTTTACACTGAACATGTGGAGCAGTGCCCACGCCTCCCCCAGACACACAAAATGTGTCATTTCAGGTTATGCCATAAAAAATTATGTTCTGCCACTCACTTAAAGGTCAGCCAGAAGAGGACAGGTTTTTTATTTTATTTTTGCATGCAGGATTCAAAAGCCTTGTGTTCTTACAATGCTTTCATGGTTCCATGAGATAAGATTTTTTTTAGAAAGGGTTCCAGTGGGGAAATACCAGTTAAATGGGAGGGAGAAATGTGCCAGAAGCTCTGGAACTTATCCCAGGCTCTCTGGGGCTTTCCTGCTCTTGGTGTTAAACACACCATCCGTCTGATTCACGCTTTCAGTCCGATCTGGTTTGAAGCATCCTGCTGCTCAGCAAGAGGAGAAGCACTCGCTGAGAGCTCCCGAGGAGCCCATTGCTCTCCCTGCGCCCGGGCTCCAGCTCTCCTGGCTTATGCCAGGTGTGTGACAGAAGAGCCCGGCGTGGCCGGCAGCCCTGGTCTGGGTCCAGCATGGCTGGAGCACAAAGCAGCGTCTTACCAGTGAGAGCATCTGCCGTGGGCGTGAGAGCATCCCCAGGCTGCCGTGGGCGTGAGAGCGTCCCCAGGCTGCTGTGGGCATGAGAGCATCCCCAGGCTGCTGTGGGCGTGAGAGCATCCCCAGGATGCCGTGGGCGTGAGAGCATCCCTAGGCTGCCGTGGGCTCTGCCTTCTCTGGGTGGCATCCCAGAGGGCTGGGGGCAAGGTGTGAGCTGGAGCTGGACCCTGTCCGTCTGTCCTGGTGGGAGCATGCCC